ATCTTCTTCCGATCCTCTTTCGGTCTAATAGATGAGGAATGTCGCAAACAAGTTGCCCTTCTCGTATACCCAGACCACCATGTTGTGCCGGACCACCATGCTGTGCCGGACCACCATGTTGTACCGGACCACCATGCTGTGCCGGACCACCATGCTGTGCATGACTACGCTATGCCTAAAAGAGCACGGTCGCTTGGGCCACAGAGCTTGTTGGAATTCCGCCGTGTATCAAGTTGGACCCTAGGTTGTTTATTACAGCTATCCGGTGTCTCTGTGGACAAACTGACAGCCTTCTGCGCTAACCAACTGGAGTACCTACCGGGTTCTTGGAGACTCGAGTGTCTACGAGGCTGTGTCATCAGCGTCTCCAATTACGTCGCTCGAGTTACACGGGAACCTCGCGCTAGGTACAAACGACTTCGCGCACACCTTTCCCAACTCAAATCCGTCTCCGCCGCAGAATACGGTGCACTCACTCGCGCTTCACAACCCCGCCACACCCGCCCAGTCGCGGGCACACGCACTCGCGTGTGCGAAGTACCCAACGGTGACACACCGATCGGTGACACACCCAACGGTGACACACCCAACGGTGACACACCGCTATCTTGCTCGCATTCACAGCGGCGACACACGTTGGGTCATGTGCGAGATGTGTGCGGATCAAGTATATAGTATATTGTACAGGTCGTTGGAGCCGACGGGGTCTGCGAGGCGTAACATTGAAGCACTTTGAGAGATGTAATTTGGCGTACGTGACAGTGGCAGGAACAATACTAGGATACTTCAAGACCCCATATGCGGCAACCAGACGATCAGTGGCGGATCTATTATGTTCATCCAGACGTCGGATTGCTGCACACTTGGACCTCTGGATTACAGCCTGTTTGTTACAGCACACAAATGCATCATTAGATGGTCTTGCTCGATTTTGTGTGAAACATTTCCAACGTTTCAATGACCCATTGACACGCACTCAGAGCGCACACAAACTCACCAAACGACTCGAATCACTCCCTCATGTCTCCGCCCAACAGTTCGGATCAATCGTCTGCGACCCCGGTAATAAAACTTATCTACAACGCACAACCCCTCGTGTTCGTACCGAATCATACGAAAAGGAGTTGTACGGTACGAAACACTTT